GGGGGGGGGGGCGGAGCCAAGTAGTAGCAGAGCATGGCACCGTTTTTAAAGTGTTTTTTTAAATAAATAAATTATTATTTATCTAAATTTTAAATTAGTATTTTTTATATTTTTAAAATTTTAAAATATTTATTCAAAAATTAAGTAAAAAGCAATAGTTAACGTAGTAATAATTAACGAGAGGGCTAACCGGAGATGGCCCACTCAAGTGCTATAGGGATGCCCCCACCCAATCTATACACGTAAGCAAGTAATCCGGTGTACTTTTTGCTTAAAGAAACAAAGAAAAACAAATTCAAATGTCTAGGAGGTTCAGATTCTCCTAAAATGGTTTTTCTTCGTTTTGTGGACAAACGCCTTTTTACTGTGGGTAGCACATTGGTTTCCTATTCAATCGGCGCGGCAGTTATGGTTTATTAGAATGGTGATTATAGTTATTTTTAAAAGTATTTTTATTTAAAAATATATAAAAATAATATTTTTTATTTTTTAAAATTATTTTTAACTTTAATATATTAAAATATCAAAAAATATTAATTTAAAATAAAAAATTTAAATTTTTTAAAATACAAAAATAAATAAAGCTTATATTTTCACCTCGTTATGTACGCTACAACTAGAATGGCAGGTTTAGAAATTATTTTTTTAAGGGGTTTGGTCTTTTTTTTACAAGTTTTTATTTTTTATTTTTAAATTATTTTTTATATTTTTTATTGTTTTAAGATAGATTATAAAGTTTAAAATATGTATTAATTATTGGGGAAAAAATAATTAATTTTTTTATGACAACTTGCATGCAAAATACCATAAAATAAAGTATAAATTTTATATAAATAAAAATGAAATTACATATACTTAAAAAAATACTCAACTATAAACAAAGACAAAAGTCATTTCACACAGTTTGCATACAGTATATCTCATGTTGTTTTAACAAATATCATATTAATATTTATTTGATGAAATCTAATACAACATACTATAAGAAAATTTTTAAGAAATTACATATTTAAATAATATAAATAAATATAAAAACATTCAAATCAAGAAAAAATTACAGATTAAATCAATCTACGAGCTTTTCCTTCTTGCCTGCAGCTTTGAAATGGAGGCCAGTACGGCTTTATTAAGAGTATGTTTTGTATTATAGTAATTATTATATTTATGGTCTGGAAAAAATATTTTATAAAAAATATTTTTAATTAAAATTAGTTTAAAAAAATATATATTTAGTTAAAATTATCATTAAAATTAAAATTAAATAAAAAATAATTTAATGTGTTTGGTTAAAAGAGTGCTTTCCAAATTAAGATTATAAAATAATTATAAAATATTTATTAATATCGATGGTTTTTAATTTAAAAATTATAGATTTAACAACTGTTATTACATCATAAAATAAATAATATTGATATCAAATATTTTTTATTGTTCCATTAAACTATATGTAATTTCATAACGTATGAAATATATTCAATAAAGATTACATTTTTCATGGTTTCTTAAGCGCACAACAACATCAGATAAGATATCATTAAGAACAAAATTGAAATTGCGATCAAATTCTGCAAATACTACATCATCAAGCGATCTCCTTCTAATTTTTTTAATAAAATAAAATTAAAAATTAAAATTAAAATTAAAATTAATTTTTTAACCAAGTAGAACCCGGCAAGAATAAAATTGGGATTGCAATTAAATTTTACAAATATTACGTCATCAAGCGATTTCCTTCTACCTTTTTAAAAAAAACACAATTAAAAATAAAAATAAAAATTGAATTTTTTTAACCAAGTTAAACCCGACAAGAATAAAATTAGGATTGCGATCAAATTCTGTAAATGCTACATCATCAAACGATCTCCTTCTAATTTTTCAAATAAAACATAATTAAAAAATAAAAATTAATTTTTTTAACTAGGTCAAACCCTATTCAATACACTTAGCTTTGGATCCGACCCGAGTTGGCTGAAACAATGGCCAGAATAGTGGAAAATGACTCCATTGTTCACGTGAACACTGGAGTTTTACTCTCCACTATTCACTCAATTAATTGAACAGTGAAGAGTTTGCTCTTCACCATACAAAGACACAGCAAGAAGAAGCATGAAAAATTGCTTCAACTGAACCTATGGTCAAACCTTATTTTTTGTGGGTCTCATATACCAAACACACAACCACTACTTATAACCAAATACTAGATTATTGAGTTTGAAAAAAAAAAAATAGTAGCTGCCGCAGAGCCAAACGCCCTTAATCCTGCAAAGTGACTTGAACCCAGAAAAATAGCATAGAATTCATTTTAAAACCAAGATTCTAAATAATGGTTTTGTTTAAAATCATCAATGTGTCATTCTTCTAAAAATTTATACCAACAGTGTTATTTTTAAAAAAAATCTAATTTTTCTATTCTTTTTTTTGAAGGTATAAAGGAAAAAAAAAGCACCCTTCTGTCACAAACATGCCCAGTACAAGACTTTGGTTCTATTGTTGTTCATCCTTAATTCTTGCATTTCAGAGTATTTTTTTTTTACTCTAGCATGGTAAAAAAATAATAAAATAATATAAATGTAAATTTTTTTAAAATAGTAAAATTTAGAAAACTACGGATAAATCTATGATTCATAAGTTACAAGTGTTATATGTAGCTCTTTCAAATTGCAAAATTGATGGACACAGAATTCAAAAAAGAGAAAAGAAAGAGGAGAGAGAGAAAAAAGATCTCAAAGGCACATCAAAATTTAGATGACGACATCACGAGTACTATTGAAAAGATCTCAATGAGATAAATCCAACAACATTAAAAAAATATCACCAACAACAATCATCAGAGTGGGCCATTTAAATGGCTCAAAAACAAATAAGACCTAATATCTTTAGATAACTTATGCGGCTCCCTTTATCTACCCTTTTTCCATTGCCCATTCATGTTACAGAAAAGCAACATAAGAATGAAAAAGGATGACTTCATTTTTCTTTTTTAGGGAAACATTACCTATGTAAGTTACATAAAAAGATAACACTTGGATATATATTTATACTTTTGTCATGAAGAAGGTAAGGCTTGAGTAACGCAACCATTACTAGAAAATCAGATAAAACCAACAGAATTATCAACGGACTTTTTTGTCTGTAATTTTTACTGAAATATATAATTTAATCTCAAATTTTATCGATCTATAATGACAGACCTTTGTTGTCGGTAATAATTATTGATGGCATCAATTTCGTCAGCCATACAGTCGGTATTTACAAATGGAATAATTCCATCGGTACATACCAATTGTATTGCCGATGAAATATATAGAATTTTGAAAAGGAGAAACATTATGATTATGTGGAATTTTTTCAGACGATGTTATCGACAGAATGATCGAGGGATTTAAATCGAGATCTCTGTACAGTGATATGGCCCATTCACTATCAGAACCATCGACGGGATGTATCCGACATTAATTCCATTGGTAAAAGCCAATATATACACACTCTGTCAACTCTCTCCTCCTCTATTTCTCCTTCTTCTTCCTCATCCCAACTCTCTCCTCCTAAACTGTAACCAACCACCCATCCCAACTCTTTTCAATACAAGCACTCAAGTTTCTTATACTTTCATATATGTTTACAATATTCATTCTCAGATTAATTTATTATGGATTTCATCATTTTTTCGAAGTAAATCTATACTTTTTAGTTTTAATATTTAAATGTCAATTTTATTTTTTTATTTTTTTAGTATATATATTTTGTTAACATGTGTACTTGTTTTATTGTTATTTATTAAAGAAACTTGTAGTATAAATATATAATTTTGTAGTTGTTATAGTTTGTTTTAAATTTTGTCAAATTGTATTTGTTTATAAATTGTTGAAATTTTGTTTGAATTACACTGAATTAGATGTGTTGTGATGAATAAATAATAGCTTATTTAACAGGTCCGTTTTAATTTTTATCAATTCTATTGTAGAGTTGTGATTTTTGTAAATTTATATATGTATAAATTTGTATGGATGTTGATAATTGATAATGAATATTTAACATAAGTGTTTTTTAGTTTGTTGGCTAATGTAGGGGCAAACCAATATTTTTGCAAATTTATTTATGTAACATAGTTAATTAATATATGTTGTCATCATAATTTTACAAAGGTTTGATAGAAGTTATGGATAATCATTCATTGATGTATTGAGACTCACCTAAGGATTGCAAATGATGGGTTATTGTAATAGGGTTTAGGATATTATTAATTTCACAACATCTATTCCGATGAATTTTACTAATGGTGGTTTTAGGTGTCCATGTAAAAAATATAAAAATAAAAAGTTTCTGCATCAAGATGTTATAACGATGTATCTTCTAACCAAAGGGTTTATGAAGAACTACCTGTAAAAGTATGCATACGGAGAATTATTTATTCCTAATGAGAATATGGTAGAAAGGGTGACTGAATCAATTTATAGTGCTAGCAATGTGTATGAAGTTGTAAATGACAATAGTAATCCTTATAGGAATATGGGTATAGATGCAATGAAAATGAATGAAGATAATGTTAGTCAATATCTAATCGTAGAAGAATAACCTAATGCAGATGCAACAAGGTTTTTTGATCTGTTGAAAGATTTTAACGAACCATTATGGGATGACTACACGAATCATAGTAAATTATCAGGCGTAGTACATGTATTCACCATCAAGTCAGATCACGAATTAAGTGAGGCTAGCTCTAACAAAATTATTAAATAGATGATAAGCATTTTACCTAAAAGGAACATGCTAAAAAAAAACTTTTATGTTGCAAAATCTATGATCAAACCCCTCGGTTTAGGATACTAGAAAATTGACATATGCCCTAACTTCTATATGTTGTACTACCTTGAAAATATTAAGCTAATCGAGTGCATGGCATGTGGACATTCCCATTACAAACTCAAAACTAGCAGTAGAAAGA